GATGATCATAGAGTGTGATTGTTAAATCTGTAATATCGTGAGTTGATAGCCCTTCGCTGTAGTCTTGCATACTTTTTGTTTTTTTTTACAAAGTGACTTTTAGTTATAAAACAAGTCAAATAAATAATTTTTTTACTTAAAAAAATACATACATCAAAACTGATTCTTAACAAACTGAACACTCATATGAGTGCCATCACATCTCTACAATCACAACAAACCCAGCAAAAGCAAGGTTTCCGTAGTAAAATCATGACTTTTAATAGTCGAAAAAGTAATAAAAAGCATTCTTCTTTGTTTTATGATAGTGCTCCAGGTATGTCCAAGTTAAACGTTTTTGTTTTGACTTTGACATACATTGATTTAATTTTACGTTGTTAGCAAATGCTTCAACGTAAAACCAGAATATACCTCTTAGATGTTTTGTCAGTGATTTTCCGTTTGTTCTGAACCTTCAAGGGTTTAGGGTACACAACGAAAAACACATTTTGAACGCAACAATACTTAGCTAACACTTCATTTTCAATCTTTTAAAAATCCCTATTCATACGAACTACCAATGACCTTAATAAATAAATAAATAAACTATTTTCACCATGTTCGCTGCGAATTCTACCGTAGAAGGAGGAGAAGATTCTCAAACTACACCTGCTCCAGCTAGTCCTACCCAAAGCGTAAGAAGCCTTAGTCATAAATCGGGGCGACCGTCATTCTTCGCTGCCTTTGCTCGTAGAAACTCAACTAAAAGTGAACATTCTTCGAGAAGTCGTTCACCAACCAGTCCTAGACCTTCCAACGATTATAACTTAACACCTGAAGACTTACGCACTCCTAGTCCGACACCATCACGACATTCGATCTTCGAACGTGATATTGAGAATCACGATCGTCTAAGCGTTCACGAAGCTATAGACCTTGCTATTCCTTCCGCTCTAGATAATGTAGCTGAAGCCTTTGTCAAAGAAGAAATACCTATTCCCATAGAAGATGGACCTGATTCTATAGTTAAGAATGGGAATGGTTCTGATGGCCATGGCCTTTTGATTAATACAAGGGGAGAAATCAATGGGAAACGATTGTCACTAATAAACATTAATCGAACACCAAGTCCTGGTCCGTATGATCAAAAGAACACAATTGCGGATACTTTGCGAGTGACGACACCAAGAGAAATGAATGCATTGACAGGAATATTTGATAACTCGTGGAAGTAATCAAAAATTTTCTGATGTGAGGGAAATTTGGTTTCCCGTGAGTTATGCAAATGAATCAGGTGAGAATAAATCATATCATTTAATTTCTTTTCAACTTTCTTTTGACTGTTAGCTACAAGTATTTCGTTTCTCTTTTATCAAAGTTTTGATTTTTTTTTCGCTGAATATGCATCGGTAAAATGGTGGTAAATGACGACCAAAATCAAAAAAAAAAAAAAAAAAAACAAAAAAAAATCGCTTTCGGTTCATTTGGATCAATTTTTTATATCATATATATATATATTATATTCCGCATTTCTCTAATCTTATACATATTTATTCTTAATTATTTTTTGATTCTTAAATATTTTCTCAGGAAATTATTATTCATGGTATATACACACAAGCTGAAAATTAGGAAAGGCAGTCCAGGGCGCACAACTATAAAATTGTATTATTCATTATCACTTATTTTTTTTTTCGTTATATATATTATACATACATACATATTTACATACACATATATATACACATGTGCCTGGCTTCCCATTTCGCTGATGAACAGATCAAAACGTAAAAATTAATTTATTAATAAATTTTTTCTCACCAAAACATAAAAATTATAGTCTATGGGTAATTTTTAGTGAATTTTTTATTTTTTATTCGCAACTCCAAAGATGATTTGTTGAACCAATCACATGACCGGTGATTGCAAAAAAGTAATTGTATTTTAAGTCATGTGAAATTGCGTGATCTATATTCAGGGTTAACAGCAATCGCCACATCTTCTTCAAAACCCTTCGGTTACTCTTCGGTTACAACTTGTCGTTATGTCCAACAATTCGTTACCTTATAAAATTACGAAAAGAAGGTTTGATTTTAAATTTATCAAAATTTTCATTCAGGATGTAAAATAATGTACCTCTTTCTTTAGAACATGCAAATTCCATCTACATATGCTTTGACCTATTGTACAAAGCATCATATATAGCACAACTACAAATAAACGAAAACAATACATTTTTCTTGACCTTAATTTTAAGCTCTTAGAACAAGACTTTCGTCACACTGAATAATATTTGTTTGCAGATGAAATAATTGGTGATATCAAATAAAGTGTAGTACAGAAATCATTCGTACTCATTAATTGGCCACTCAATGTAGTATTTATTGCCATCTTTGCCAAATACATTTGATGACTAATCTTAACATTTAATGGACCAATTATTTGAGTAACGGGACTGTTTATTTGTACCAAGGTGATAATTACAATCCACCTCGCCATAAATACAAATTTGCTATTTACAATAACGATAACAAGTTTTATATTAAAAAAAAAGAAAAAAAAAAAAGGGGGGATTGTAGGGTAAATCCAAATATACATACGTACCTGGTACAGGTTTCGCATTTTGAAGATTTTCCCTAAATGCATTATACAACCTGCACTTAGTATCCATACTTATTTATGTACGTACGTATCGGTATGTACTTTGTTTAAAAAAAGAAAAATACCTGAGAATTTATTAATAAGATCTGCACTCAGAGTTGGCTACAATACAGCAATACAGCAATATGATACAGCAATATGTATGATATATAATTTTTTTTTTTTAAAAAAAAAATAGTGATCCTGTTAAGACAGTTTTATGTTTACAGTTTATTATTTTT